TGCATGGTTTCTGCTGAGAGATCCGAGCTTAATCTGACTTGCTTGCCTTTGTATTAATGCTTCTCTTTTTTCTAGCTGCTTTCAGGAGTGTCTCCTTATCTTTGATTTTGCAGAGCTTGATTATGATATATCTTGGTGATTTTCTTTTGGGGTTTATCCTTCCTGGGGTTCACTGAGCTTCTTGAATGCTTATCTTTTCACTTTTTTGGGATGTAAGAGAAATTTTCTTCCAGAAGATCCTCAACTATCTCTTCTGTGGACGTGTGTGATTCTTCCTGTTCCAGAATGCCGATAATTCCTGAATGTTGTTTGTAAACAGCCCTGGGCCCACCGGCCTTTGGGCAGGACGCCTTCAAATCCAACCAGGAGGTCAGGTCACTGGTGTGGACACAACCCTGGCTCCTGTGTCCAAGTCAACCAGGAACAGCAGGGAGGCATGCACAGGGGCCTTCCCTGATTTGCTGCTCACAAGTCTCACATGCTGTTGCTTGCTCCCTTTCTGTGCCCCCACTGAAGTGTAGGCCACAGCAGGGATGTGGCCAGAGTCCCAAGTGGGTGAGGGAGCCACAGACAGCCATGGAGCAGCTCTGCACCTCTAAGACCCGTGAGTCCAGAGTCAAAGGCAAGGGGCTTGTGAGACCTCCTGGGAGTGTCTCCCAGAGCAAGCAAGAGGGTGGGAGTGAGAGCAACTGTCTTCACCACCCTGATGACCAAGGTGGGCCTGCAGACCCCTCCTCCCCAGAGATGTGACTACCAACACACCCCTTCCCCCAACACATACGAGTACCTAGACGAAATGTCCCCTTCCACACACGAGTACACATGCAGGTGTGATTTTTGACACACATCCTCCCACCCACACATGGATGAGATTCCCAGCACACCCCTCCCACACATGTTTACACAAAAGGGTGAGGTTCCTGACGTGCCCTTTCTCACACATGTACATATACACCCTGGTGTGACTCCTGTCACTTTCCACACATGTCTACACATGGAGGTGTGACTCCCCCACAGGCCACTTCCTAACACATGTTTACACATACAAGTGTGACTTCCAACACCCCCACACATGTGTGCACACAGAGGAGTGACCCCTGACACGTCCCTCTCACACGCATGCCCCTGTCCAGCAGCTCACCCAGAGGACCCAGCCCTGCGTCTTCCGGGGTGACTCCCAGGTTAGTTTGCTGCCATGCGAGGTAAGAGCACCTGGGAAGGGCTTTGGCAGGCCCAGAAGGCATGTGGGGAACAGGCAGGGTCAGGGGCTCATGGAGCACAAGTGTGGCTCCCAAAAACTCCCGCCAGACACCAGTCTCACAGCACAATCATATCCCATCAGGAGGGTGGGCTGTACGGGGGGCTGCATGCAAAAGTGGAGGGGCCAGGTGTGCACGGGCATCCTGAAGTACCTATAACACTTGACACTCAACAGCCCAATGTCCACAAGGTTCACCCCAGGACTAACACATCTGTATCCCCTACAACCTGATGGTCACTCTCCCCAGGACTAACACACCTGTATACCCCCCTACAGTCTGATGTCCACAAGGCTCCCCCTAGGAATAACACTGAGCTTTGAAAGGAACTCAGTGAAAAATAAATATGAAGCCGTTGATGACAGCCAAGCATCGTGGGGACAGCAGACCCCTTGGCTGCCCCTTCCCCTGGACCAGCCCTGGGCACTGTCTCCACACACACGTCTCTGAACCCGGGAAGGGCAGCCCACCAACGGGGCTTTCAGGCTGTGTGGCACCAGGCTGTGGGCAGTGCCCTCCAGCCAGCATCCATTAGCCCTGTGGCTGTAAGCTTCCTCATCTATGACCAGAGGTGAAAGCACATAGGTAGTGAAAGGAAAAAGAATCCTGAGCTCCAGAATGTTCTACAGAAGCCTTGTCCACGGTGACTGGAGCCTGCACAGAGGGACCCCACCTAGCACCGTTGTTAATAAAGTCTGCCCTTTACCAAATTAGACGTTAATCGCAACAGAGGCATGGCAAGAGCACATCCCAGACACAGGTTCTCAAATCCTCCACAAAACTTTAATGCTGATGCACGGAGCTGAGACTGCGCAGTGGTGGTGGCAGGGGGGTTTCCAGCAAGTCTCCCAGGGCCCCCAACCAGCCAGCCCAGGGCTCATCTGTGGGTTCGCCCTTACCGCAGATGCCAGTGCTCCGGGGCCTCCCCACACCATCCTTCCTGGCTGCCAGCACCTCCTCCAGCCGCAGGGAGCCGCAGGGGGGGTCCAGCGTGGCGGGCACCTGGTGTGAGCTGGAGACACAAAAGCAGTGTGAACTTGGGTGGGCGGAGTCCAGGAGGAGCACCCTGTCTGACAGTGAGGCCACCTCTGTGTCTCCTGAGGCCAACACATCAGGCCCCAGATACAGAGGGGTTCCAGGACCCCTCCTGGCCCCTCTCAGTCCCACTCCAGGGTCACAAAGGCCATCTGCTTGCAGACAGGCTGTGAGGACTTTCCAGCCTTCAGCAGCTGGGATGCATGGAGTTCACCTTGGTGTCTAGAACCTCTTGTGAACATCTCACCTGCTCCTGCCCTACGCAGGTTCTGGGGAAAGGCGGGTGTTTTCCTGAGAACAAAAAGTCAGCCCCTGCTGCCCCCTGCTGGCAGCTCACAGACATAGACAGAGCCCGACGCCCAGGTGGGTGGGTGGGGGGTGTCACTGAACCACAAAGGACTATGGCCCAAGGCCCAAGGCAAGACCAAGCCCACAGCCCCTGAAGTCAAGGGAGGTGTCAGGAGTGCGCCCCTGGGGGTGACTGGCAGGGAAGGAGGGCGTCAGAGCCCAAACCCCATTGCTGTTGGGTGGTCTCCACAGGGTTTTCCTGGCTGTCATTTCTATGAAGCAGACCACCAAATCTGTCTTCCATGGTTGGGTGAGTTCAAGCTGTCAACCTTTCAGTTGTCACCAGGGCAGGGGAAGGGGAAACACAAGGCTCGGGCACAGGACATGGGGACATCTGAGTTGGCTACCTGCACACAACCACCAGGAATGGGCACCACGGGCATAGGCCCTCAGAGCTTGGAGCCCACGCAACACAAAGCAGTGTCTGAGGCGTGCTGTGGTGGGTGCCAGGGTCCAGACAGAGTCCCCTGTGACGTGGGGGTCTTCATTCTGGCAAGTGTCAGAGCCACACAAGCTGGCCAGTCCTGGGGTTTCTCCCAGATGCATCAGGAGCTGCACCCCGCTGCCTGCCCACTGTGCCCCGACTCCAGCTCGGGACAGCCGGCATGGCTGGGCACCGGGAGACTCTTAAGGCACCCTGTGGACAGGATGCGAGGAGACACAGACTTACCTGCCTTCCAGGGTGCTCACGGGGTGGAAGGTGCCCGCAGCACTCGCTAGCCTTGGCTCCAGCTCAGAAGAAGGCCTGTGCCCCGTGAGCCCTGCAGAGAGGGGCACGGTGACTGCTGGCCGGTGGGGAGCAGCGCTTCACCCTTCCCCATATTCTGGACAACCAACCACTTCCTGTCAAGCCAACACCAACTCAAGGCGACTCCATGTGGGCCAGAGTAGAACTGCGAACCCCAGGCTTTTCAATGGTTGATTGTTCTGAATTAGATTACCAGGTCTTTCTTCTGAGGTACCAACAACTTCAGGCACCAGTGAGCACTGAGCCCTCTGTACCACCATGAACTTGGTGCACATTGTCATGTTCCCCCAGCCCCCCCTAGGAGAGGAAAGGTGGGCACGGGGAGGTCAGGCTCAGGCACAAGATCCTACAGTGGGCAGTGAGGGCCTTCAGAGGACCCTTGGCCACCCCCAAGACGCACAGCCCTCCTGGGGCTATCCTACCTTGGACCTTGCTTGTGCACTGGTCCCACGGGCTCACATGCTGCCACCACTCCTGGCCTGAGTCCAAGGGTAAGGCCTCACGGTCCGATAGACGGAGGGGAGAGACAACTTGTCCTGCTTCCCCGCTGGGTACCAAGGCTCTGGGCCAGTCTGGGGCAGTGAACGTGGTGGCAGGTGGCTTGGGGCTGGGAGTCAGGTCCCCAAGCACGTCCATTGCTTCCGGTTTCTGCAGCTTCTCGGTCAGCAGGTCAATCCGCTGCTTCAGGGCGTTGGCCGTGGTCTCCAGGGCCTGCAGTCGGGCCTGTCTGTATTGATAGTGCAGGGGGCGGGCTGCACCCAAGCCCTCAGCCTCTTTGGGGTCCAGGTAGATGCACAGTTGCTGTGGCTGTGAGCAATTCATGGGCAGGTCCTGGAGTTTCCAGGGACGCAGGGAAGTGTTGGTAGACAACGGCAGGGGGCGGCCATTCTTTGTCTTTCGAGTTTGGGGGCCGCTGAAGGCTTTGTTCAGACACAGGCAGAAGCTGAAGGTAGAGAGGCCAGAGGGGGTGGGTCATTGGCCCCCCCACAGCGAGTGCAGAAACACAGGTGTGAGTGAGCTGTGTGGCAGAAGCAATGGGACCAGGGGAAGAGTGAGGGCACCGCGCTGCCTTCAGCGCCACCATGGGAAGACTGGGAAAATCAGCATTGTATGTGAGTAGCTGCACCCAGCTGACCAAAGCGATAACACCATTATGAAAAAGGCAAGAGAAAAGGGCATTTTGGTAAACAATAAGACATTTTCAACACCAACAACAACAACAACAAAAATGAGTGTGGCTCTTACAAGTTTTTAAGAGGGAACCTAGATCCAGAGGGCGAGGAGGAAGGCAGAATCTCCACTGAGTAGTAGCCAATCTATCTAGGCGGTGCTGATAAAAGGAAATGCGGATGTGTCTCTTGTGATACAATAGTGAATAATTGTTACCAAGACTGTCTGCCAGGGTTGGAAATGTAAAGGTAGACGTTTTGTAGCAAGGAGAGGAGTGATTAACTTTTCAGTCTAGGAGCGGAGGTCCCCAGGACCATCAAGGGAGAAAAGCAGAGAGCAGGACCCTACCCAGAGAAACAGTGACGTCAGAGATGGAGGCAGAGATGATGACGTGGAGAGATGGAGCAACTGGAGACTTTAGACCAATAGAGGGAGAGGGGCTTGTAGTGTATACCCTTTGGTTGGTTGATGATGCATGGAGGGGATTGTAACCATGGCAATGAAATGATATACGATAGGATGAATGTAAAGCTAATGTTCTCCCATGTAAACTATCACATAATTTACAATAAAACATTTTTTTTAGAAAACGTGTGTGGCTACAGATTCGTACGGAGTCCTGGTGTGGCACTGAGGGATAATGCACCAGACTTCAAGGTCCGTTTGAACTGCAAGGTTGGAGTTCAAATTCACCAGCTGCTCCTCAGGAACCCCATACAGGGTTGCTATGAGTCAGAACTGACTTGACGGCACTTAACAACAACAACAATAGATGTGTGTGTACGCATGTGTGGGTGTTAGCACTGCTCCAGAAGACTGCAGCCTTCAGCATGGATGCCACCTCAACATAAAGAAAAGTAAAGCATACACTAATGAACCTCCGGGGTGGCGCCGTAGAATAAACACTGGACCATAAGACTAGTTTCAATCACAAGGTCGGTGGTTCAAACCCACCAGCTTGTCTTTGGGTCACTATGAGTCAGAACCAACTTGACGGTATTTCAAAAGAAGTGGGCCAATAAACAAAGGAGAAAAAAATGAACTTGTCAAGGATTTCTTTTTACTTGGATCCACAATCAATGCCCATGGAAGCAGCAGGCAGGAAATCAAATGTTGTATTGGGCAAATCTTCAAAGCGTTAAAAAGCGAGGACTAAGATGCTCCTGCCCTAAGTCATGGTATTTTCAATCACCTCACATGCATGCAAAAGATGGTCAATGAATAAGGAAGCCTGTAGAAGAATTGATGCATTTGAGTTATAGCATTGGTGGCTGTGTGCTGTGGAGTCGGTTCCGACCCATAGTGACCCTGCACAGGGTTTCCGAGGCTGTAAATCTTTACGGGAGCAGAAAGCCTCATCTTTCTCCCACAGAACAGCTGGTAGTTTCAAACTGCTGACCTTGAGGTTCACAGCCCGATTCGTAACCACTACGCTACCAGAGCTCCTTTATGTTGTTAAGTGACCTTGAGGTTCACAGCCCGATTCGTAACCACTACGCTACCAGAGCTCCTTTATGGTGTTGGAGGAGAATGTTAAATATACCACGGACTGTCAAAAGACTAACAAATCTGTCTTTAAAGAAGTAAAGACAGAATGCCCCTAAGAAGTGAAGTCGTGTTATCAGAAGGGACCGATCGCCATCAGGTTTGGCAAAGTAGCGGGTCAGTAAGAAAGGAAAAGATCCTCAATGAGACGGACCGACACATTGTCTGCCCCGATGGGCTCAATGCAGCCATGATGGTGAGGATGACCCGGGACCGGGCAGGGTTTTGTTCTGTTGCACATAGTGTTACTATGAGTTGGAACAGACTCAAAGATAAACAATTCCTATGGATTGAACCGTACCCTCCAAACATGTGTTGTAAATTCTGCCCTCACATCTGGCTCAATGGTAGTAGGGCTGGCTTTGGGTTTATACCATGGTTATAGTTCTACTTAGGTATGGGCTGTCCTTGTTATGTTGTTGAGGTAAGAGAGAGCAGGCTGTGTTTTGAGTAAATCTCTTAGCTACAACAGGAGCGGATTAAGCAAACAGAGACGGGAGAGGAGAAATGCGAAACCACAGGGAGCTCTCCCTGGAAGCAGGAGAACCGGCATCTGAATTCACTTTGGTGCAGCAGGGTCAGCACCGGACTGCTAACTGCAAGGTCAGCGGTTCAAATCCACCAGCCGCTCCCTGGGTGCCCTCTACAAGATTGCCATGAGTCAGAACTGACACGACAACACTTTACAACAGAAACAACAGCCCCCTAAACCGTGAAAAAGGAAATTTCTGTTTGCTAAAGCCATCCGTGTGTGGTATTTCTACCATTGCGGCGCTAGACAACTAAGACAGGGATACAAGGGGGCTTCAACAAGTTCTTGGAATATGGGAATTAAAACGTAACAAAATTTCTCCTTGAGCTTTGTGAAGCCCTTGCATCTGGTCATATGTATAGTAAAGCACAAGAGGGCAGTTATGGACACACCTTGAGAGCTTGGTTTTCTGGGATAACTCAGCCATCCATTGGACTGTCATACAGTCCACACGATTTATGTTCTACAACCTCGTTTGGTGAATGGTGCCTGAAAAACCGGTTGTCCCTACCCCATGACTCCACGCCACTTCATACCCACCTGCCTGGGGTCTCCTGGTCCCCCAGCATCAAGCCTGAAGTCACCTTACTCCATTCCAGCACAGGGGGCCCTGGGCTTCCCGGGGTGTCTAGGTCCTAGGGCAGAGAGGGACCCATCAGACCCCATCACTCTGGGGCCCTCAGAGCCTCACAGGAGAATCGGCGTCCCCTCTTTGGACACAGGGTCCCTCTCTGGACCCCAATGCACTCAGGCGGCAGACATTTGGAGACTCACGGGAGCACAACAAAGCCAGACCAGATCTTCTGCCCCCCCCCCCGCCCCCATCCCCAGGAGGTGAAGGCAGCCCATGTCCCAGCCCTCCCCTCACCAGTCTCCCCCAGGGGACAGACCCATAGAGACCTGGTTTTCTAACAAGAACTGGCAGCCAGCCACCCAGGGGCAGCCCACCCTCACCTGGTCATTCTCCAACATACCCTATCTTGTGCCGAGTGTGGCACAAAGGTGACAATGCCGGGTCTGGTCTGGGAGACCACCGGGGCAGCCCAGCCTGGACCGGCTGCCGGTTGCTGTACCCCATCCTGTGCCGAGTGAGGCACGAAAGTCACGATGCTGGGCCTGGTCAGGGAGACCACGGGGGTGGGCCTCCCGAGCACAGCCTCCCTCTGCTTGCGGTACACCTCCCTCAGCCGGTGGTCCCGGAGCTCCAGAGCCCGCACAGCTGCCGCCTTCTCCTCCAGCATCTGCTGCCGCCGCGCCAGGGCCTTCTGTCGCATGAACTCCTGCAGGGACGCGGAGCTGTGGGGAGGGCCGGGGACACCCCGGGGCCTCTGGCCAGCGGGCAGCTCCTGAGCCCTCTCCTTCCCAGGTGAGTCTCGAGAGAAGCTTCCTTTACACGGTGAGCCCACCGGCTGAGCAAACGAGGAACACCAGGGCCTTTCCAGGGGGCTCCAGGGCCAACGGGCAGGGCTGTCCCAGTCTTCACAGGTCTGGCCAGCTGAAGTGCTCCAGGGCCTCGGCAGTGGGGACCCCTGCCTCTCAGGGTGACTCCTGGGTCTCTGGAAGGTGGGATCCCAAGCCCTCTTTGGGGAGGTCCCCAATCCTGCCGAGGCACTGCAAGGCTGCTGTCTGGGAAAGCTGCAGGTCCTCTCGGAGTGGCCATCTTTGTCCTCTGTCATGGCCCAGGGTCTCTTAAAGAAGGCACCCGGGGTGTCCAGAACTTCCCCAGGACCCTGCTGCCTCGTCTCTGTCGGGTCCTGCAGGCCCAGCTTGGGTGGTCTATGCTTAGACCTCTGCCTGGACTGGGGACGTTGGGCCAAGTCCAGCCCAGCCTGGATCTGCTGGCGGAGTTCTTGCAGGATGGCCATGGCAGTCTGGATGGTAACTGGCTGGTCCCACGAGACCAAGCTGGGTGTGTTGGCGGACACCCACTGGTCACTGCAGGCTGGGCTGGGCGTCTGGGCAGGGGCAGTTGGAACCTTCTTACTGTCTCCTGCAAAGTGAAGTACTTCAGAAGCTGCAGGGCGGATGGGTACCCAGGAAGGCCTTTAGGCCAAGCATCCCTCCCCCATGAGATCCCTTTTGGTTCCTGCATGCATTGTGGATACACAGGTGCTCTCTGAGACAGGTGCCACACCTCTGTGAGTTGTGGCTGGCGGAAGGCTGGCCTGGAGCCACCGACTCTGGCCGGACGGTGGATGTGGCTGGAAGAACCTACAGGTCCCATCCTAAACCAGAGAGCCCAGACGGCCTTGCCCTGGCTCCTCAGGGGCCTCGGGGATAGAGCCCACACCAGGGACTTTGCACACAATTCTCCTGCAAGTGCCCTCTGACTGAGATGTGAGCAAAGCTCTGGGGAGGGGCTGCTGCCATCCCAGGCACCACCACCTCCAGCCCTGTCTCCACCCCCCCCACCCAATGTCAGTGTAAAGTGGTCCCAGAATCCTGGTACACAGCACAAGGTACCTAATTCCGAGGTGGGGGCTGGCTCTCTCGAGGGTGCCTGGCTCCGGCGCCCAGGGAGCACAGGAGGGGGCCCAAGCAGTAACCTCACCAGATCTTGTCCTCTCCTCCAGGCGTACACACCCACCGACTCAGAATCTTAAACAGAAAGATCATAACATATGCAGGACCAGGATGCACAGCTTAGGAAGCTGGGCCATAGCATCCTTGGTCGGGCCCCTTGCGGACAGGACCAGAGAGGGGAGGGCTGGGTCTTAACGCCTCTTCTGTAAAGCGAGGGTAATAAAGTGGCTTTAAGGAGCCCTGGTGACGTAGTGGATTGTTGTTGTTGTTAAGTACCTTGGAGTCGGTTCCAACTCATAGTGACTCTGTACAGGGTTTTTGAGGCTGTAAATCTTTAGGGAGCAGAAAGCCTCATCTTTCTCCTGCGGAACAGCTGGTAGTTTTGAACTGCTGACCTTGAGGTTAGCAGCCCGATTCATAACCACTACACTGCCAGAGCTCCTTGTTGTTGTTAAGTGCCGTCGAGTCGGTTCCGACCCATAGCGACCCTGTACAGGGTTTCCGAGGGTGTAAATCTTTACGGGAGTAGAAAGCCTCATCTTTCTCCTGCGAAGTGGCTGGTAGTTTCGAACCACTGACCTTAAGGTTCGCAGCCCGATTCGTAACCACTACGCTACCAGAGCTCCTTACCAGAGCTCCTTAGCAGTTGTTAACTATTAACTGTGGGGTTGGTGGTTCAAATGTACCAGCTGCTCCGGAGAGCAATGAGGCTTTCTGTTCCAGCAGATTTACCACCTCAGAAATCCTATACAAGGTCGCTATGAGTCGGAATCTGCTCGACAACAAAGCCAACTTAAAGGGTTGTCTGTAAACACAGTGACCCAGGCACACAGCATGGGCCCAGCAAATGTTGGTGGGTAACAATGCTGAAGATAAGAGCGGGGGCCCACAGGTAGGGAGATCGCTCGCACTGAGCTGGAGGGAATTGATTGGTTTTTAAACTGGTGAAATGAGCAGCAACAGAGGTGAGGATCAATGAATGACGACACCCAGGCTGGCGGGTGAGGGTCCTCGCCAAGGCAGCAGAGACCACATCACACATACGTGTGAGCTGGTATCAAGGTTTTACTCCATAGCCCCAGATCACATTTACCAAATGCCAACACGGGCACCACCCTGTCAAACACAAGCTGCGCCCAGATGGGGCCAAGGCCACATCTGTGGAAGGTCCCCCTACCACCCACCCCAGGCCAGCCCAGGGCACCGACACTCTGGGAGACCTGCTGTTGTACTGGGAACGCCACATGGCTTGAAATCACCATCACGGGCCCCAGCCACGATTTCTCCTGCCAGCCATGGGGATACGGTTCTTATCAGGAAGGTCCAAGGAGGGTTCCTAGAGGGCAGGTGAGCCACCACACCCACCCATCCCAGGCATGGCAGGTTGCTGGCCCCGCCCTGACCCAAAGTCAGCCCCAGGTCAGAAGTCACTGCCCCAAGAAGGGGAGGGACCACGAATAGCATGCCTAGTAGTTACGAATCCGGCTGCTAATCTTATGGTCAGCAGTTTGAAACTACCAGCTGTTCCACAGGAGAAGGATGAGGCTTTCTGCTCCCGTAAAGATTTACAGCCTCGGAAACCCTGTACAGGGTCGCTATGGGTCGGAACCGAGTCGACAGCACATAACAACAAACAATTCTGAAGACAGGACACTGCGGCACCACCTCCTACCCAAGCCACACCGTCCGGAGTCCAGGACGACGAGACCACGCCCTCCTATACCACGCCTCCCGGAGGCCACGCCCTCCTCGCCTCCTCCAGGACCGCATTGGAGGTCCTTGGCGTCCCAGACTTGGGTATAACTGCCTGCTCTGGTACTCGTTAAGCTGTAAGTCTTGGGCAAGTGACCTCTCTTCTAGGTGCCTTGATTTCCCCATCTGTAAAATGGGAAGAATTGAATCTAACAGCCCCTCCTATGGGGTCGGTGAGGATGAGGCTGGGGTCTCGAACATTGCAGGTTGGTGGGCGGGTGAACTGTCCACATCTAGGTTTCTGAGGGCGCCGAGGCGGAGGCAGGACAGGAGAGACCCTCAGAGCAAGGATCGTCCTAGGTGTCCTAGCCTCCCTGAGAAGCACAGAACGGGCCCCACCATCCCTGACAGCTCGCGTTCCCATTAGCCGCCCGAGGGGACCATGGAAACAAATGGGTCCTGAAGGGCACATCTTTTTCTTCCCCCGAGCAGTTTAATGGCAATTAATTTTTTTACGAGAGGATTTTTAATCTGTGGGAATGGATGAAGTCCCAAAGTACCCTGTCAGAGTTCCGGCGCTGACTTAATCTATGATAAAAAATGCAAAGTGAGGTGATATAATCTGAAATTAAATATCTGGCTTCATTTTCCTCTGGCCGGATGGATGAATATTTTATAACTATTGTAATTTGATTTTTTGTTAACTACAGCGAATTTCTAATTCATCCAATTCCCAAGTCCTGTGGCTCTGACCTCTGACCCCAAACTCATCTCTTCTGAGCCCAGCCCTGACAGAAACGAATGGTCAGCCCCAACACAGTGACACCGTGGTTACAATGATGAATGTGGCCCATGGCACACCCTCCTGACCCGATGTCGGACGCAAAGCTGGTCATTTTTCAAGTGAGCCATTAAAATAAAACAAACCAAAAAGCTGAGGTGGAAGGGGGTGTGTGTGCAGAGCCACTGCCAGTGAACCTTCTGGAACCTTCCAGTGTACCCCGCCTCACGATCCCTCACTGCTGATCTATCACCACTTGCCCTGCCGGCTGCTGAGTGTGGGCGTGGGGCGATGCTTATTCATCCGGCTGGGAGCCACCGCTCTGCCCACAAACAGGGATAGTGGGTATCAGACAGGACACGCCCCCTACTCCCTTCACAGCCGTGAACTCATGGTATGGGGGAACACGGAGGCACAGGGATGAATAGAAGTAGCTCTCAAGCTTAGAGTAAGGCCCAGCAAGCTGACCTCAACCCACCTGAGGGGCCCTTGTGAGTGGTCCACAACCCCAGGCTCTGCTGAGGGCAGACCCTGCCTGACAAGATGCCCAGGTGTGTTGTTAAGTGCCATTGAGTTGATGACAACTCATAGTGTTTCCGAAGAGTGGCTGTTGAGTTTGAACTGCCGACCTTGTGGTTCAAATGGACCTCGTGGTCGAGTACTTAGTCTATCACAAAAGTGTGGTCCCAAGTAAACAGGGCTGGACTTGCTCAAGTTAAGGCCTTGAGCAGGACACTCAGGTTGCAAGCCTGGCTCTGCCCTGAGTGGCCCTAGGCAGGCTGCCGTACCTCTCTGAGCCTCAGTTTTTTCATCTGCAAATGGGAGTAACACTGCCAACCATGGAGGAGAGCTGGGCACCTGGCTAGCTCTATTCCCATCACTGCACCCTGACTGCTCAGGAGATGCCTGGAAGAACTGCAAACTCTGCGGCCAGCCTCCCCTACCCACCCAACCCCCCCCCCCATGCAATGGAGACCCAGTCCCTTCTTCCTCCCCTAGCCCCAGCCACCCCCCCCCCCCCCAAACAAACACACACACACATCTAATCCTTCCTTGGAGTGGGTGGATCAGTCCTGGCTGGGTGGTGGAGGCTTGCTTGGCCCCCACACACTGTCCAGCTCCTCGAGTGGTAGACCCCTTAGTTGGATGGCAGGTCCACAGCAGTAAGATTACTTAGCCGACTTCAAAGCTCATCTTCACCCTAACACCTACAGCCCCACCTGACTTCTCCACGTCTCCAGAGCTGTGGGATCAGCGGGGTTCATCCAAGGGCCTGTGTGAAATTTGTGCCTGGAATTGGGGACCCCAGACCAGCCTGGCCCGGTAGACCCAGCTCCTGCACCACCGGCTTCGGAGGGAGGCTCCTGACATGAGGTGGAATAGAAAAGCAAAGGCAATACACATGCTTCCTGGTGGATCATTAACCGGAAGGTTAGTGGTTCAAATCACCCGGTGGTAAAACAGCCAAGAAAACCCTAAGGAGTTAAGTTCTACTCTGTTGCACGTGAGGGCACCAAGAGTCAGAATCTATGGCAAAAGGTCTGGCATGTTGGTTTTAATGGAAAAGCAGACATGCCCTTTAAATGCATCCTAATGTTAGCATGTGAGTGAATGAGTTGGATGTATGTTCCAGAGTGTGGTGGAGAGGGTGTTTTCATAGGGTTCTCCGGCCAGGCGCGGCAAGCAGAACAGCTGCACGTGGGGACTTGGGGCTCGAAGTCCCTCCACCCAAGCCCACTCCCATAGACACTGGAGGTGAAACCCATTTGCCTACTTAGACCTGGGACTGTCCCCCTGTGGGCCCCAAATGAGCGACTCTTCTCACCTTTGCCTTTGGGAGCTCTTCGAGGTGAGGGAAATTTGGACGCCTTCTCTCTTTTACAAGAACAACCTTTGGTCCTTTTGGCTTTTTCTCTTGGCGCTTCAGTGAGAGAGGAGGGGGACAGTGAGGAGGGGGACACAGGGTCTCATGCCCCTCGGCCCTGCATTGCCTGGTCCACCCACGTGGGCACCGTGCTCCTCCTGATGTTCAGGGTGAGGACCACCAGCAGGGGCACCTTTAGCAGGACTGGGCACCCCACGTCCACCTTCACAGCAGGTGTTGCACTGTGGACGAGAACCCCAGAACGGAACCCAGTCTCTCGTTCCTGTAGTCCCCACGCCCAGCTCTGGTCCAGCCCACAGGTGCTCAGGACATTGGTGAGGGTGAATGACTCTGTGTGAATGACCGGGCCAGGACTGGGAATGGGGACCGAATGCTGTGGACAGCTGCTGGTGGATCAGGGAGAAAGCCTTTGTCCAGCGATCAACTGCCCAGCCTGAGACATGCCCGTTCACTGCCCGGCCCCGCTGCACCTGGGTGGCTGAGGATCTTTCTCCAAGGACACAACACTGACCACACAGCCCCATAGAAACCCATATGGCTCTCCTAAGCCAGAGCCCCACTGCCACCTCACCCCAGCCGTGGGTACCCTAAGTGACCTAGGTCAGGTGACTCCAGGCACCCATTTACTCCAGCCTCCTCCTACCTTCCCTCATGGGTCTATATCGTCTCCCTGAAGCCACAGGGACAATGCTCACATGTTCCTGTTGATGGTCTTCCCGCTTCCAACCCAGTCCCCACTCTGAGGACAGAGGGAATCTGCCCAAACCCATATCTGCAGTCAAGACCTGCTCAAATTCCTGACATTCCTAATGCCTGCGACCAAGTCCAGTCTCCTGAATGCCACCCGCCAGCACCCAGCCCCAAATCTAGGCTTCTGAACACTGCCCATCAGTCCACCAGCCTGCCAGCCCCAAGTCCAGCCTCCTGAACGCTGTCTGCCAGCCCGTCAGCCCCAAGGGGCAGATCCTGCCTTCCGCCATCAACCATCCCCTTCACTGAGAAATGAGTGAGGAAACACTACTCAACTGCAAGTCTCTGACTTATGGCATCTCCTGGGTAAGGCTGTTTGGGGGGGACAGGCAGGACATGTCCCCCATTGGCAAGATGTCAGAGACAGCCCACTGGGGAGCTGACATGTGATGAGACAGGAAGACCCTCACCTGTTCCCCTGCCCAGGCCCCCACTCTCAGCCCAGCCTGGCCTGCAGCATGTGGAGTCCAGGAGAGGGAGCAATGGAGGGAGGGCAGTCTGCAGAGGGAAAGGCAGGCTGGGTCGGACTCCTAGCTGCTGGAGGCATTTCAGCCTGGGGACCTCTCTGACCCTAAATGTCCTCATTTCTGAGTGGGATCATCACATTAACACGGAGCTAGAGAAGTTGTGACTGGAGCAAGGTCCAGCATTATGCTGTCCACACTGAGGTTCAAGTGTCCACTCACCAGAGGCCGGGCGCTGGGAGGCCCTGGCAGGCTCACACCTGGGAGATGCTTTGTCTTCCACTTGGGTCTCAGCAGCACGCCGGACGCTGAAGTCTGGAGCAGAGAGAGGGAAGGGCAGCATGGAGAGGGAGATTGGAGAGCAGCTTCAAGGACAGCTCTCTAAAGCTTTCCCATCTAGCGTCGTCACCCCAGGCCATCCGGACACGTGGCCATGCCACAGAGCTGCAGCTCACAGCTGCTCTATTTTTAGACCAGACACAGCCCCATGGTCTCAGGGGCTTCCGTGAACAGGTGAGAGAATTCTGTGGCAGAGGCAGTGCACAGCTCAACCCTGTTGCATGGCTGGCATCCCAGTTGGCAAAGAAGAGGGTGTCTACAGAAAACAGCTTGGAAGGATGTTGGATTAAGAGTTGCCAGGTTTGCAGAATGTGCCCTTTGGTTGTTTAAATGATTATGTATTCCTGAGTGTTTTTGTGTACATCCCCCCCTCCAAAAAAAAAAAAAAAACAAACCAGAGGGAATAGAAGCAAATACTGTTGAATGATGATGCACGGAAAAGATTGTAATCATTGCAATGAAATGATGAGTGTAAAACTGGTGTTCTCCCATGTCAACTATTAATCAATTCACAAGAAAACTTTAAAAAAAAATTACCAGGGTAATTCAGGAGGGAGTGGGCAGGAATACAGACTTTAGGGGTTTTGCTTCCCTTTTCTGTCTGTCCCTTTTTCATTAAGAAAGACGCAATAATAATAGAAACACTTCTTTTTAATGAAGAAAATACCTTTCCTGTCTCCCTAAACATAGCTCATGTCTGACCACAGGGCTGGTCTTCGTGTCTGTCCCATAGGGGATTCTGGGTGTCACTGTGTCTTTCATTCCTCCCGTCTCCCCCAGTCCACCTCTGGACACAGCTGGGAGGAAAGCATGGGAGCCTCCTAAAAGCCAAGTGGACTTTATTAGGGTGTTACTGACCTGAGTCCCCACAAACCTGAATGCTATGGATTAAATTGCTCCCCCAAACGTAGGTGGAAGCTGGAACCCTGGTCTCTGTGATCTTGACCTTGTTTGGAAATGGGGTTTTTGCAAATGGAATCTGTCAGGTTAACATGAGGTCACACAGGAGTGTGTATGTGCATGTGGGGGTATCTTAACAATCCAGGAGTGGGGTCCCCATATACAGAAAGGGAGGACAGAGGGACGCTATGCAAACAGGCATCACCAACCTCCGAACGCCCGGTCCCCCAGAGGAGGGGTGAGGAGGGGACTTTGGAGGGAGTGGTGCCTTGCCAACAGACACACTCACTTCCTGCCCTCCTCCTCCCCAAGGCCACCAGCAAAATACAGGCCTAACCTGGGGGGCGGGGGACGGCAGGGGACATGGCCTCTCCTCCATCAATCCCTCTAGCCTCAACACTGCCTGCCTCACCTTCCCTTCCGCATTCCATCTGACTGGTCCTTGAGACCCTCCAAATACACCCTGCAGCCAACCTGAACCCACTCAACTCCTGCCCCTGAGTCCTCCTAGAGCCCACCAGCCCACCCCCTGGCCTCTGTCTGGCAGAGTTGCCGCTGACCTGGGCTGGCCTGGGGGACAGGCGCACGCGCCACCTTGCGGACCTTCTTCCGAGGCGCCAGTTTGGAGCCCTTGCAGAGGCGGGAGGCGCTGGAGGGCGCTGAGGTGCCCAGTGAGCCACAGCTGGCCTGCCAAGCTGCCTGGGCCCGGATTTTGTCACGCAGACGCTCCAGCCGAGGGTCAGTCTTCCTGGGCTGCTTCGGGGACCCCAGCACCTGGGGGGGCCTTTCCTTCCAGAGCCCAGGGGCAGGAGTGCACTCATGGCCCCCCGAGGAGCCAGACAGGCGTCCAGACGACACAGAACTGCTGCCGCCGTTCCCTCCGGTTCTAGATTCCTCACCCCCAGACCACATGGGGCAGCTGCAGGTTGGTGCTGAGGTGTCTGGCACCTCGCTGGGGTCTAGCCAGGCCTCACAGGGGGCTCCCCTCAGGACAGCTGGCTTCGGGGTGGGTCCAGGCCGCCTCTGGGTAGCCCGGAGGCCATCACTGGCTACAGGTGACCAGCACTCATCTTCCCTTGAGAGAGAAGCAGATATGACGGTCAGGTGCCAATCCATTGCTCAGGGTGGAGCCCTCCTGACCAGCGCCCTCACCCCCAGACCCTTTCTGAACCTCACTTTTCCTGCTTCACACACAGCGTGGGGAAGGACACCCCCTTAGGGGGAGGCTCTGAGTGGGCTCACTGCCTAATGGAGGACAAGAGCGTGAATCAGAGCCACAGGCTGACAGCTCGGGGCACGGAGGTACTGTGGTGTGTCCTCTAGCATCCTGAGCACACCTGGGGAGGGGTACTGTCACTGCCCGGCTCTACAAATGGGGAAGAACCCTGACTCCACCCTGACCCTGACCGACTGCCTCCAACGTCCACCAGGTGGGCGAGCACTTGCCGGATGCTGTACACACACGTCTGGGGCTTGGCGCTGGCCCTCCGGCTTGTTGGTCGACTGGGGGCCCCACTCCTGGGGCAAGGCTGAGGCATTTCCACCAGGCAGGTGGGCAGTAGCCCCATGACCAGGGCAGCCTTGGTTACTAGCCCTGTCCTGGGAGTCCGCTGGTCCTGTCATATGGCAACTTGGGCCTCTGCAGCCTGAAGTCCATCCCAGCTCAGGCCAACTAGCCACTGATCTGTTCTGGGTACTGGCCTGCACGGGACCCTGGGCCCAGTACGCAAGCCCTCAGGACAGTCATGCAGACGGGCCTGGGCTGGGGGCTGCCTCGGAGACTTCCTGGGGGGCTGCCTCTTGGTGGGAGAGAATTCCAGGGGCCCCGTGCCATGACAGCATAATACACTTGTGTCACTCAGCAGCTGGACCTCAGGCCGTCCACTTAGGGACACCCTAAGCAGACCTTCATCCCCCAACCCCACCTGCCCCATGCCACTGGCCCAGGATGCACTGTCGGTAAGTGAGCCGACGCTTTGGCTGCTCTGGGCTCAGAGTGGAAACACAAGGAGTGGGCAGGGGGAGAAGTTGCCAGTGGAGGGGCAGGAGGGAGGAGTCAGCCTGAACCCTGACACCCACCACCCCTCCCTAGGCCCCCTCTACTTCCCAGGCTGGACTGAGGATGGGGCACTGGTCTTGGAGCTGTCCCTGCCTCATACTGGGGCACTTTTTGCCCACAGAAATAGCAGCTAGAGACAGGGACCAGGAACCCTGAAGGAGGCCACCTGCCCAGTCAGCCTCCCGTGGCTCCTTGGCAGGACACTGTGGTGGGCAGTATGTGGGCTCATCCTGGCCCCTGAAGAGCACAGTTCAAATATCAGCCTTGGTCCTCAGCAGCAGCAGCACGCTGGGCCGCGGGGCGCCCACCCTAGCCTTTGGGGTCAGTGCCTGCTGTTCAGGGCACAGCTGGTGTCGCTGTTAAGTATTAAGTGCCGACTACAAAGGGTTTCTGAGGAGTGACTGGTGGGTTTGGACTGCCGACCTTGTAGTTAGCAGCCCACTACTATACCACCCATTAGGATCACCTATTAGCTTAAGAATTGCCCTAAAGGCGGTCCCTCTCTAGTGTTTCTGAAGAAAGGGGGTCTGCACAACCCCCCACAAAATAAACCAAAACCAGGTGGTGCAGTGTTGATTCCAACTCCTGGGAACCCTTGTGTGCGTGCAGAGCACACCTGAGCTCTATAGGGTTGTTGGTTCTTATTCCCATGATGTTTTTTTTCAATGGCTGCTTTTCCAGGAGCAGGTCACCAGGACTCTCTTCTGAGGCTCCTATGAGTGAACTTTAACTACCAACTTTTCAGTTGACAGCTGAACATGGTCATTGTTCTGCCATCCAATGAAAAGAACCAAATCAGTTGGCGTCAAGTCAACACCGGCTCGTGGCGGCCCCATTGGTACAGAGGCAAGCTGAGCTCCTCTGGTTGGTTTTCTTGGCTGTATCTTGATCGAAGTAGATCACCAGGACTTTCTTCTGAGGTACTCTGAGTGAGTTTGAACTGTCTACTATTGGTAAGCAGCCAAGCACATTAACCTTTTGTATTATCTGGGGCTTCCTCCATCCTAGACAGGGTGGACAATGGGCCTGCCCTGAAGACACATCCAAGGACCCTTCCCCAGGACACTGCAGAGGGTCACCATGTCCAGTCCCACCCAAACTCAGGGCATAGCTGGATTCATTGGCACACATGGCCAGTCACATGTGTCCAAGGGCAGAGTCTGAACCACCCATAGTCGCGGGGCCCTTACTGCTGTCCAGTAGCCCCTGGCGACAAAGCAGCAAAGAGCCCCAGACGGTGTTGCCCCCTCCCCTAATCTGACTCTGCAACCCTCCTTGTATTCGGAGTCAGGGTCAGGGTCAGAGAGGGTTCAGATCAGAACCGAAATCACTGCTGCTAACCCAGAACCACCCTACAAGTCAGAGTAGACCGGCCCCACAGGGTCTCCCAGACTAAATCCTCCCAGAAACAGACAGCCTCGTCTTTCTCCTGAGAAGCAACTGGTGGGTTTGAACTGGCCAACTTTCGGTTAGCAGCACAATATTTAACCGCGTCTGTTATCACTACTCCTAGCAGGGTCAAACCCAGCTCCAGCCCAGGGACCCAGAACCACCCCTCGTGGCCCAGACGTACTTCTGCAGCAGGGGTCCCCAGCTGGTGCCGCCACCATCAGCCTGGTCAGAAGTCCCTCCAAGCTTGGACTCTCGCTGTCCACTGGGGACATCCTGTGGTGAGGCTGAAATTGATCAGACCTGCTGGTGAGGTTCTTTACGACCCTGAAGGAGACCAACCAGCAGCCCCGGAGAGTGGGTGCTGAGAACAGGGATGGAGGGTGGGCAGAGATTCAATGTGGAGTGGTCAGGGAGGACAGTGAGCAGACTCCGGGGGCTGGGGACTATGGGGAAACAGAGAGCAGGCTCCAGGGGTCAGGGCTTGTTGGGGGAACAGAAAGCAGACTCTGGGAATCAGGACTGTGAAGGACAGAGAGCAGATTCCAGAATCAGGGTTTTAGGGGGACAGAGAGCAGCCTCTGGGGGTCAGTGGCCGGTGCGGGGAGATGCCATGGGGTCAGGGACAGTGGAGGCAGAGACTAGACACTGGGGGTCAGTGGCCGGTGCAGGGAGATGCCATGGGGTCAGGGACGGTGGAGGCAGAGACTAGACACTGGGGGTCAGTGCTGAGGGCCTCGACCATCCAGTGGGTGCTGCAGTGAATGAGCTGCTCCCTGCACCCAGGACAGCTGGCTGGATGCCACACAGACTCCATACGGCTTGGGCTATGCCCTGGCTACACCTTGGAAGCATGATGGGAAACTGGGGTGACCCTAGCACCTCTACACCACCCTTGGCCCCAGACACCTCCTAGGGGGCACTGGAGACAGCTCGATTTCCAGTTTCGTTCTCTCCTGAAGATAATGCCCTGTGCAGGGCAGCCTCTCTGAAGATTTTGCAGATATGAAAGCCCATCCCCCACACTCTGCAGGGACCCTAAACCTGCCTGTCCCCAGCACCCTGAAAGGGACCCCCAAGCCTGCCATCCCCACACCCTACAGAGATCCCAAGCCTGCCTGTCCCCACACTCTGAAGGGACCCAAAGCCTGCCCTCATACCCAGGACCCTGAAAGAGCCTCCTAACCCTAACCCTAACCCACCCAACCCCAACCACCCCATGCAGGAACCCCCAAGCCTGCTCGTCCTCACACCCTGCAGGGAACCCACTAACTAGCCCATCCGTTATAATGCCCCCCAGCCTACCTGACCCTGTATCCTTCAGGGGGACTCTCTCACCCCATGCTATTTAACCCTGCTAATGCCAGCACCTTTCCTGAGGGGTTCCCCATGCCAGGACCACGGTTTGCTGCCTCTGGCTCCCTGAGCTGCCCCTAGGTCAGTTGGGAGGCCCCTCTCTGCCTCAGTTGTATCTACCACTTGGTCCTTGCCTGTGTCCCCCACAGGGCAGGGCTCCTCGGCAGGAACCTCCCATCCCCATCCCCGTTTCCTCCGGCCCTCTTCCCCCCAGCCCCTCTCCACCTCAACCAGGCACTGGTTAAGCACTTGTCTGTGGTATCCTCGGGACCACACCAGGCGAGCAGCCCACGGTGGACTTGAGTCTCAGCTCACGTTGCTTGTCTTGGGGCCTGGCAGTATCAGCCTTGAGGAGTCCCAGGACCAACAAGCAGGCCAGTGAAGCATGGCGGCCACCTAGGGTCCCCAGCATGAAGCAAAGTCACCTGACTCAGAGCAAGCTCAGGAACCAGGGAGGAAACACTGCCTGGCCTCCCGCCAGACCCCGTTGTGCGGTCACTGCTGGAGATTCGGAAGTAGATCTCCAGGGCTTTCTTCCTAGTGCTTCTTAGTCTGGGTGCTCCGCTGAAACCTACTCAGCATCCTAGCAACACACCCGCCTCCACTGGCCGATGGGCAGAGGCCTGAATGAGGAGCATTGGTGGATCGGAGGCCGGGTCTCCTGACTGGAAGGGAGAAGTCTACCCCTGGACCACCGCTGCCCTCTGCAGGACATTAGTTCCCACCCAGCCCCGCCCCCGTCATGGGTCCCTAGGAGCCAGAAGACACGTGGGTGTAAAGTGCTCTTTACCCTGGTGGGCTGGGCACAGAGAAGGGAAAGAAAGGTAGCAGCCAGGCCAGACCTCATCAGTCAACCCCAGCACCTCTGCTGGCCTGTCCACTTGGCCCCGTCCTGCTCTGCCCAGCTCTAAGACATGGATACTTAGCAGAGTGCAGCTCCCACCCCTGTCCCCTACCTGGCTGTGCCCACCACACCCTCTGCCGCAGTAACTGTGAAAAGCACACTGAATGGGCCTCGGGGACTCTTACTCCCCCAGATTGGGACAGGCAGCAGATGCACTCTAATTAGCCGCACTGTTTTCTTCTCACCGCCTCGTCCCCAGAAAATCACATTGAACAGGCTGGAGACTGGAGGGGACTGAGCAGACTGGGGGTGGTGGTGAGCAGACTCGGGATCTTAGAAGGCTGGGGAGGTGAGCAGGCTGGGAATGGGGGGAATGCCCGAGCAGGCTGGGGGAAGCTAAACAGTCTGGGTGGGTGCCAAGCAGCTGGAGGGACCTGAGCAGGATGGGGGGGGAGGGGGGAGTAGACTGTGGGGACCTGAAAAACCTGGGTATTAACAGGATAGGGGGGCAATGAACAGACCAAGCGGGCTGAGCAGGATAGGGGGGCTGAGCAGGCTGGGGGGAGCTGAGAAGATAGGCTGGGGTCGAGAGCAGGTGGAGGGGCCTGAACAGGCTGGGGAGGTGAGCATTTGGGAGACTGGGGGGTCTGCGCAGGCTAGAGGGTGAACAGAATGGGGGTGAGCAGGCTGGGGTACAGGTCTGCAGACTCAGAAGGAGGGGAAGGCCTCTTCCACCCACTGTCTCTGGGCTCGGCTTTCAGACCACAAAGACCTGAGCTTAGCTGTGGCAGCTGGTACCAACCGTCAACCCAGACCCAAGCCCCACACCCATCCATGGTCCTAGAGCAACAGACGAAAATGGGCCTGGCCCCCGACCAGAATCTTCTCGAGTCAGCAGCTGCCCTGCTGCCAGGAACAGGAGTTCTGAGAGGCTGGTCCTGGCTCAGGACACACATGGGGGGTGGGAGGCAGAGGTGAGGATGACTGGACGTGTGCCCATAGGACATGCCCCCCACCCTCACTCCATACACACCACATACATATTCTATTAGAGTCTGCAGATTGGGGTCACCAGCTATAATGGCCTTGGTGGAATGCCCCCAGCCCTCACTGGCTCCCAGGATTCAGTGGGGCGGGGTGGGGTGGCCCTAGGCCTCACTGGCTCTGGTGTGTGGGTTCTAAATGGGGTGGCCTTCCCTCCAGGACTCCCAGGGAGGCCAGCTGAAGCCTTGGGGCTACTTAGGCCCCTGGGGACATGGAACCACATGGAGCCAGCAGATGCAAGGGCGGGAACCAGGTGAAACAAATGTCAGTGATTTGGGACAGCTAATCACAGAGGAGTACCATTGGGAAGGCCAGATGGCATGACAGGAGGCAGAGACAGATGAGGAACACGTGGCTCAAGCCCTCCAAGGAAACCGTCACTGCATTTAAGAAATGAATCACAACCTCTGTACCCACCACCCACACTGAAAGGCCCTGGGCTCACCCACCGACCAGTCAGCCCCAGTCTGTAGCCAACTGGGAAGAGACCGGGAGACTGGAAGAGCGCTGCTCACCCTTACCAAGGGGAAACCCACAGCCATGCCAAATAGGAATTAGGGGACCCATGTGGAACCTGCCCCTGCCTCCTGTCCCCACAGCCCATCCCATCTACAGGACTGGCCAGTCTCCTCAAAGGCCAAAGCCAGCCAGAGTCTTGGCAGCTCTGCCCAATTCCATGACATCTGATGTGGCTAGCAACGCTGCCTAAGCCGGCCACCACCTAGGGAGCCTTGCCAGGCCCGGCCCTGTGCCCATTAAGTTCCCCAGGCAACATTGAACCCTCACCACAACAGAGCTGTTGCTCAGGCTATGGGCACACCACAGGCAGGCCAGCCACCCTGCACTGCAACCCCACCCACTGGATGCCTGCCTGGACTGACCACTGCCCGGAACACCGTCCTCAAGGGCTCAGAACAGCTACTCAGGGTTCACGGGGGCTTGGCTCTCACCCTCAGCACCCTGATCAGCTGGAGGAGCCCAGGTTACTTGTCCCACACCAAGGGGGCGTCCTCCTGGCCGGAACACCCTCCCACCCACACTGCCATGAAAACAGGAACCTTCAAGCTTGGAGGACGTGCCAAGTCAAAGTCGCAGGGGCATCCCACAGAAGGACAAACTGAGAGGCTGTAAACGACAGCCAAGTTCACAAAGCAGTGCCCTGCAATGAACCCGTGGAAACTCGGAGGCAGGACCACCCAGACCCAGACTCCACGCTCTAACAGGGTCCCCAAGAGAGCAAGATAGAGGAAGGGGTGTCCAGCGTGCCGCATCGTGCGCCGCCTTGCTCCGCTGCCTGTGACCTGGGGGAGCGCTCCAGGAGGAAGGACAGGTATTCACCGCACCAGGTACTCACCGGCGGGCGGGCCCCAGGCCACACTCTCGGCTCCCGGGCTTCCCAGGGTGGCCATGGCAGGAGCCGAGCGGGCCCGGAAGTCAGGTAAACGAAGACCCGGCTAAGGACAAGCTCTGGTGACGCCTGCGTTACCACAGAAACCAGGCGTCGGGGCGGCTCCAAGCCGGCTCCTTAGGGACCCAGTGCCCCGCCCGACCATGCGTAGTCCGTCCCTCCCTCCCCCGCCAAAGCCCCGTAGGGACTTGTGCAGGTGGGCGCACCTGGGCCTCCTACCTTACAGCACCCCTAAGGGTTGGGGAGGGAGGTGCCACCTGGTCCCTCCCAGCTCGCCGCCCCATCTCTCCACACCCTCCCTTCTCACCAGCGACCCAAGAGGCACCCTCGGCTAACGGTTCCAGTCCCAAGCCTCTGAACAGGCTGGGGTAACCTGGGCAATTCCAGGTACCTCTTACTGGTCTCCCCATACAGCAGCGTTCGTTTTATATGTAAAACATTTTCCTTTCTTCTTATGTGCTTCAGTCCGGCAGGTGGGTCCACCCCCTCTCCGCCCAGGGCCGTAGAGCCTCGTCTGACCCTTCAGGGCTCATCGTACACTAAGCATAGGAGTGCTTTCCGGTGTCAGATTGTACTTCCAAAAAGGATTCTTGCAGTTGTTAAGACGGTTCCAACTCATAGCCACTCTGTATAAGGTTTCCCAGGTGAGTTTGAACCACCAACCTTGCAGCTCAAACCGACCTTGCAGTCCAGTGCTTAGTCTACAGTGCCACACCAGGACTCCAAAAAAAGATTCTACCAGGATGCTAATCCATGGAAGGGGGATTTCCCCCACCCATGGGAGCCTGCAAGGGACCTAGGAGTCCCCTTGGGGACAGGCAGCCTTTCAGACTCAGTGGCAAGTCTTCCAGGGTTCTCCCCATCTACAGAGGGGGACTCAGCCCTGGCACAGGGGTGCTGTAGATCTTAGAAAGGGAGGGGGGACAGGGAAGACCATGTCCTCTAAGCCTGCGCCTCTCCTGCCACCCCTCCCCCAGAAGGCGATGGGCCCCCTCCCTCAAAAACACTCTTATAAAACCCAACCCTAGGAAATCTGGCCCAGCAATCTCTCTATTTGGTTGTTGTTGTTGTTAAGTACCATGGAGTTGGTTTCGACTCATAGTGACCCTGCACAGGGTTTCCGAGGCTGTAAATCTTTATGGAGCAGAACGCTTCATCTTTCTCCCGCGGAACTGCTGGTAGTTTCGAACTGCTGACCTTGAGGTTGGCAGCCCGACTCATAACCACTACGCTACCAGAGCTCCTTTTAGAGAGCCTCAAACAATGAGAACGGAATTGCAGTAGATCTGTGCACACCCATGTTCGTGGTAGCATTATTCACACCCATGTTCGTGGTAGCATTATTCACACCCATGTTCACGATAGCATTATTCACACCCATGTTCACGATAGCATTATTCACACCCATGTTCACGATAGTATTATTCACAATAGCAAAAAGATGGAGACAACCTACATGCCCATCAGCAGAAGAATGGCTAAACAAACTTTGATAATCACAAAGGGATATTATGCAACACTGAAGAATAATGAAGAATCTGCAAAACACCACATAACAAAGAGGAACCTGGAGGACAGTATGCTGAGTAAAATTAATCAGACAGATATTGCATGAGGTCGCTAAGGTAAATTACAACAATCAATTCTTAACTATTGATAATTACACTGAATGTGAATGGATTAAATGCACCAGTCAAGAGACATCAAGAGCAGAACGGATCAGAAAACAGGATCCTTCGATCCATTGTCTACTAATAGACAAATCAAAAGATGGAGCCATCCTAAATGCCCATCAACAGAAGATGGTTAAGCAAACTTTGGTACATACATACCATGGAATACTACAAAATGCTGAAGAATAATGTTGATTCTGTGAAATACCTCACAACATGCTTGAACCTGTAGGACATTATGCTGAGTGACATTAGTCAATCACAAAGGGACAATCATTGTGTAAAACCAATGTTGTAAAATATGCAACAAGAGGGAGGTTAGCAGAGGTAAGATGAATGTAGCCGGACACAGTGAGGAATGCAATTGTTAAAATGAGTAGAAGTAAATACTGCTAACTGAAGAAGTATGGAGAGGATTGCATTCATTACAATGAAGCAAAGTCTCTGCTTTGTTGACTGTAATACTGATGACCTGCTTTGTAAACCTTCCCTCAAGTCACAATAAAAGTTTAAAGAAAATAAGATTTCTAAGCAGAATAGACTTTCAGGCAAGAGGTGGGGATGTAATTTTTATGACAAATTCCAACCACTGTGCTATTTATAATTGAATTAATTAAAAACACCAACTCTTGTCCATGAAACCTGTCTTGGTCTTCAGGAGATGTGGGTTTGGGCAGAGACTTGAAGCTTTCTGGGAGGCCAGTAGCCCTTTGGCCCCCGGGCACTTGTTCAACACTGTCCCAGGAGAGCAGGGCTTGTTGAGGGCCTCCTAGAAGGAGCTGGGCCTCTGGGCAGAATCTCCTCCCCTCTGTTGGTGCAGGGGAGTCACAGAGATGGTGTTAGGTTTCTACTGACTATTTCTGTTTGCTGTTATTGTTAAGTGCTGTCGAGTCAGTTCTGATTCATAGCAACCTTGTATAGGGTTTCCGAGGAGCGGCTGGTGAGCTTGAACTGCCAACCTTACAATGCAGCACATTAACCCTCAGCGCCACACCAGTGGTGAGGACTGTACAGCGCAGGGACTATAACTC